CGATTAACAGCATCCACCCTTTGTGTGAAATACACTGACCACTGGCCTAATGCCTCAACGATGCGAAGAAAAAGTGGCCTAGACATACGAAATCTTCGACGAAAAATTTTGGAAGGGTAAAGAGGATTTTCTGAAAAGTAATCATTCACTAGTTGCTGATGTGCTTCCTCTCGTGGCCTCTTGATGTGCTTCCTCGGATGATGTCGATGGTCAGAAGCCTCGTTTTGAAGACCTTCTATAGTGGACTGTACTACCACCGTGGCTTCAGTGAGAAGATCATCTATGATCTCATCCTCAGCCAGGAACTCATCCAACAAGTTCACTGGAACTTGACTTCCATCAGTATTTTGCTCAGACATCTTTGAAGAAGAGAGAAACAGTAAAGATAAAAGGGAGGAGGTCTTCGTATGAGAAAAGAGGGAATGAGTTTCTGAGAGGAGTAGAGAGATGGCTAAACTCTGCATAAATAGGCGCCCACTGCATGTGAAACTGACTGCCTAGTGCAGCATTCACACTGCATGTGAAACTGACTGCATAGTGCAGCATTCATACTATATGTGAAACTGACAGCAATACATCATTCACACTGGGTAATTAATATAACTAAATATTGCACCATTCACAGATATGCAGCTCAGATTTGACAAATTCGTGATATGCAGCTGACTGCATAGTGCAGCACAGATATACAGACAATATAACTAAATATTGCAGCATTCTTTAATTATTATAAATAATAGTGCAGCTCAGATTAGATTAGATATCTAACCTTAGTCAGCAAATAACTTTTCCTCCAGCTTTTGTAATGCCTTGTCTCGGCGAGCCTTCTGTTCTTCAGACATGTTACTTGTATCTTGAGTGAGCAGGGAATTGTATACCTCAAACATCTTTGCTTCTTTTTGCTGTTCTGCTGCCTTCAAATTTACGTTTGAAATGTGAATCTGTGCTTCAGTGACCTTCTCACGCTCCAGCTTCCGATCTTGCGTCACTTTGATAATTTTTTCAATATTGTCCCCTAGGATGACAATTCCTTCTGACATACTGTCCTTCTTGCGTTTTCCATTGCGCTCGGCTTGTGCTGCTTCTCTACCAATGGGACGCTTTTGTTCATCTGGAATATCAACCACTTCAGCCTTGTTTTTGTCCTTCTCAATCATTGCACACCACTTGGGCTCTTTTCTCAGTATCTTCCACCAATGCACAAGTGCAAAAGGCTTTCCAAATGTATTTGCATACATCTGTTGTGCCTCCTTCTCCAGCATGTCATCGTCATATCCGCTTGTATTCATTTGAGTTACCTTAGTCCAGTAATCATTGAATTCTCCAATCGATGATTTGAGGCGTGACCAATGAACCTTCAATTGATTTATTTCCCTTGTACGCTTCCCATTCCCTTTTCTGTTGAACTCATCAGTAACCTCTTTCCAAAACGTATCACCTTTCTTTTCATTCCCATGAATGGGATCTTTAGAAGCATTCAACCAAGCACTAGCCAATCTCTCTTCCTCATCATGAGTCCAATATCTCAAACTTCTCTTTTTAGCACTTGCATCATTGATTGCATCTTCATGAATATCAATTTGGACTGTATTGTTAGCTGCAGCTTGGGGTGTTGGTGGTGGAGTAGACATTGTGTTGGTAGTCTGACCAACAAGGTGAAAATTTTCACCTTCTTGTGGCTGCGGCAGACAGTTCTGTTGGAGAAAATTTACGAAGCCTTCTGTAGGATACAACCTGAAAACATAAGAAGCAAATCCAATTGAAACCGATGGCAGCATAAGAAAATCAAACATAGTAAGTTCCAGAAGATGATCCTGACATAGTAAGTACTGACATACTAACAGGTTACTTAAGCATCATACTGATGATCCTGACATAGTAGCAGTGCTGACATAGATTTTTTTTAATAAGATCCTGACATAGTTCAGTCAAGCAAGTACTACAGTATGTGTAAGGAATAATTCAGTCAAGCAACAAGTTCAGTCAAGCATATATGTCAAGTAACAAGTTTAGTCAAGCATACAGAAGACCATGTAGGGCAAGCTGTTGCTGTGGTTGCAAAGAAGACCATATATATCAGTACTAACAGGTTATTTGGTTAGCTATGACGACAGCACAGAGTGTAGGGCAAGCTGTTGCTGTGGTTGCAAAGAAGACCATGTCTGCATTCCATACAGAAGGCTAAAAATATATACCAATGTTAGGATGATACCCTTGGCATTTACACTCAAAGCATTTGTTACCAATGTACTGACAAGGAGATATTTAACAAGCTTTACGTATGTGAATTACATGTTGTACAGTACACTGTCCAGATTGCAAACTGAATCTTTTGCTTTCAATTTCTGTTATACAAGCCGCAATCCATACTGCATACTGAATACTGAATTTTCACTAACAAAGTATTACTGCAATCCATACTGAATACTACATTTTTTCTATTCATTACTCAGGCATATATCAAATTACCAATGTACTGACATACTGATTCTAACAAATTTCATTGAGCATAAACAGGAACTAATTACTAATGCATGAAGAAGAGAGTCATATCATGTATCATAGTGTACAGTGAATAATCTGTGACAAGGAGAAAATACCATGAACTTGGGCCTTGTTGGTTTCCTTGCAGAAAAGCAAAATTGGGGGGTACAGAGCCCCATCCTGCTCCTTGCGGTGGCCATGGGGGCATGGTTGACATCGGTACAGCAGGGGATGAACTGGGGGCAGCAACAGCAGGACTTGACGATGGAGTAGGCGGCTGAACTGTTGCCGGCGATGGAGCTTCAGGAGGGGAACTTGCAGGCAGCGGTGGCTGAGCTGTTGCCGGTGATGGAGCAGGCGCCGACGACCTCTTCAGGCCCAGCTGCTTGCCCCCACGCTTATTCCCTCCTCTGCCGGCGGCGCTCAGACGGGATCCACCACCTCCTTGTGGATCCATGGCTGCTGGACGGCGGACGGCGGCAGATGGACAGGATTCACCACCTACTTGTGGATCCAGCTCCGCAATCTCCGCTCGTGGTTCTTGCGCTAGGGTATGGGACGGACGGGGCGATGGGGACTGAGTCTGGCGCTAGGGTTGCAGGTGAGATTGGGGAAAAAAGCTTCGAGCCAGTGCTTTGGGGGCGGGAACATGGAGGTGCTGCGCGGGAAGATGGGGGACTCGCGCGGGAAGAATCCGGCGATGCGCGCGAAGATGGCGAAGAGCAGCGCTCGCACGGGATCCCGGAGGTGAAACGATGAACTCTCAATGCTGTTTCACCCCGTTTCAGCGACCTGGGAAACGGCGCTATCTCGTGTCACCATGGTGAAACGAGTTTACTCTCTCTCCTACCCATTTCATGCAAATATTGCTCTTTTGCTGACTTGTCACTGTATTAAATGCGCATGACACTCAAATGAAACACCCATTGTGACTGGCCTAAGAGTGAGAAACGAACAGTCAAGTAGTTCACAGAAATAAATTGAGAGAGGCCTCGAGTTGCAGGCGCAGGCGGCTCAATAATTGGGGTGTGCCATTCGCTCGACGTACGCTAGTCATTCTCCATCGATCTTGTCGTGCCCAGAAAAAGAAGTCCATGGATTGCAAGAGCCATCCATTGAATCCCATGGCTCCAACCTCCACCTTCTTGTTGGATTCCTATCAATGGGAGCAGCCTCGCATCGTTCACAGGCATTGTTCACATGTCGGTGTGCACTGATTTAATTGAGTACACTAGTCGCCCTGTCTGCCAAGTGCCACCTGAGCTCGTCCCTAGCTCTTTAATTACACACCTCAACTGTTCCAAGTTGTGTCAAAATCACCGGTATTAATACTGTAATACTACCTACAATTAATGACGGTTCCAGAAATTTTTTTTTGGGGTGATCCTACATTCCTACTCCATGCTTCAAAATTTTATAACGCCGAAAATTTAATACGTGCATACAAAATTTGCTCAAAGTATGTTAGAAATATAGCAATAATATCTTATAACATTATCAATTTACTAAAATCAGCATTTGTGACTCTAAAAGTTAAAAAATACAACATAAATAGTTTTATGTGCCATGCCTGTATGAAATTGATTTGGGCCGAATTTAGAAGAGGGTTTCTTCTGGGCTAAAATTAAGGGTGATTTACGGACCACCTGGAACACCCCTTGGAACTGCCCCTGTCTACATTCAAAAGTCTAAGACATTTTTTCCCAACACTAAGAAAAAATCAACTCATCTCATATATAATAAACAACAACAAAGATATATATACATATATACAATCAATGAGTATTAAGATAGCTGCTGGGGTTTTGATCAAATATTTTAATTTAGCACCGTAAAATGAAAAGATTAAGTCTTAGACGCATGGACATTACAAATATACCCATCTTATTTGAAAAAAAAAACTATAAAATGAAATAAGTTTTGGATGGAGGGAGTGGTAGATAGAAGACCTCCTTTGCCCTGCGCATCTTTGTGATCGTATTTTGTGAGCAAAGATTTTATAATTATTTCAGCTAGCGTTACTGGTATTAAAAAAAAGAAAATAAGGTCTTATAGAACATATTTATATTATTCTTTGTTAATATGATCGACATGGTAAGGAAAAGCAATAGAGATGTGACCGTAGGATAGCCAAAAATACATGATGACTCTGTTAATCAAGGTTTAAATCCATTTCCTATAGTTACTCACACAGTTACGCTTGTCATGCCAGTTAAATGATACTACTATTTATAGATTTGTCATTGGTCATCTAATTCTAATTTAATAACTGTTATAAAAACGTTAATTTTCACGGAAGTTTCCGTGCATTATGTGCGGCGATGTGTGGGCGTCGTATACAGCTTGTATTTAATCATTAAAAGAACCCGTCTATATGTACTTATTATGACATACCTGTATATAAAGAATTGAGTTGTTGGCCTGGCGCGTTCGGTTGCACTAACCCTATATGCAAGACGTGCTAATTAATTAATATGAGACCACGAGGGTTTCGCCAATATATAATTATTAGCACAGCATTGATCAGAACAAGCTATAAGCTTAGCTAGGGGTGAGTCCGGTGACCAGTCAAGCGCCATTGGTCGCTTGGACAGATCACAGATCAATGGAAGGCATCAACGACGACAGCAACCGGGACATCATCACGGAGGCCGCGGCCATGGCGTTCGCGGATCCCCACCTGCAGATCCCGGACAGGTACATCTCCGCGCCGCCGCCGCCGGCGTCGGCGACGGCGAGAGCCTCGAGCTTGCCGGTGGTGGACATGGCGAGGCTGCTCGACCCCGAGCACCGGGAGGCCGAGGTCGCTTTGCTTGGCTCTGCGTGTCGGAGCTGGGGCTTCTTCCAGGTTAGCTAACCCAACTACACATTTAGGGAAATTGAAGGGTACTTCATTTTGCCTATTTTGGAAATTTCCCGACGTTTGGTTTGTTCATTTTGGCTTCAAGGGGTGCACCAAATTAAAGAGTGTAATAAAGGTTTTTTTTTCTCCATTGATTTAAGATTTTCTTAAATTTGGTCTTGGATTTATTTTTGGGAAAGAAATTTAAATAAAGATGTGTGCATAAATTCAATATGGTGGAGAATTTCCTATTGTACAACTTCATTTAACAAGTTGAAAATATTTTCGAAAAGTTTGTCCCCTTAATTAAGTCAATTTAATATTTTCTTTTATGTTTTTGAAAATTCATAATTTATTTCAGCGTTGAGCCATATCACCCTGTCAACACCGGCACAAAAGCACCCTAAATTTGTGTCAAGATTAAAAGGTGGATATGGTTTTGATGTTTACAACATCTTTATACTTTCGCAAAATTTAAAGTTATAGAACACATTTTTCCCTGAATTTTAAATCCGATTTAAACAAACTGCTTGGAACAAATCCTGCTTTTCTACAGCTCATAAACCATGGAGTTGATGAAGCAGTGATACAGAAAATGAAAGATAACACGGTTCAATTCTTCGAGTTACCCCTGGAGGACAAGAACACGGTGGCTGTCCGTCCTGGCGGCATAGAAGGATTCGGCCATCACTTCAGATCATCAGCTGGCAAATTGGACTGGGCGGAGAACTTGATCGTTGAAACGCAGCCATTCCAGCAGAGAAATCTCGAATTTTGGCCTAGTAAACCACCCACATTTAGGTCCCTCTTCCATCCTTGCCTAATTCATTCCAGCTTGAATAATTCTATTTCATCAGTTCATCAGTTCCCCATTTGAACATGGATTATGCAGGGATTCAATTGACAAGTACGCAATGGAGATGTGGAATCTGACGACGCGACTGCTAAGGTTCATGGCCAGCGACCTAGGAGTCGAGCAAGAAACGCTGCTTGCCGCCTTCCGTGGGAAGCGGCAGACCTTTGGCCTGCACCGCTACCCTCCCTGCCGCCACCCGGAGAAGGTGATCGGCATCTCGCCGCACTCCGACGGCTTCGGGCTAACTCTGCTGCTCCAAGTCAATGACACGCTGGGCCTGCAAGTCAGCAAGGATGGCCGATGGCACCCTGTGCGGCCGCTGCCGGGTGCCTTCATAGTCAACGTCGGCGAGATACTCGAGGTTCTCACCAATGGCCGCTATAAAAGCGTGTTCCACAGGGTGGCCGTTGACGCCGAGAGAGGCCGGGTTACAGTCGTGGTGTTTCAGGACGCTTGCATCAATGGATTGGTTAAGCCACTACCAGAACTCGGCGAGACACCACGATATCATGCCATCGGCAAGTCGGAGTATTTCAAGGGCCATACAGCAGAAGTACTTGGCCAAGGGGAAAGGTTCATCGACACTCTTAAGAAGTGATCTGACATATATATCATCTAGCAGTGATCTGGTTTGCACGGTGAATAATTCCTTTTAAAAAAGTGACGGTGAATAATTTCCTTTAATGTTATTCCGTAGTATTTGTGTACCACAATATCTAGCGAATTTTTTTTACCAGCTTGCTTGTTCTTATTATTTATGGAGTATCAATGAAAGGGACCGATCGAGAACAAATCTCCTCGGTTATCAAGCTTTATGTCTTACACTGTCATATCAATGATAGGGCCTTCACTTAGTGAAAGACGATTCTATCGGTGATAGATGAAGGCTGATTTAACCAATGTAGTTTGGGTTAAATATGTACACAGAGTCCGTTACAGTTTAGGAGATGGAGTTGTACTAAGTGTCAGAAATATAGTAACATTAGTACAGAAACCGCCATAGGTGCCGGTTGGAAATGGGCTATAGGTGCCGGTTTTTCAACCGGCAACTATTGGTCAGCACCAATAAGAAAAGAGAGAATCCATTATATACCACTGACTTTATCACACGTCTACGATTTGCCACTGACTTTATCATGTTCTACAATATGCCATCGACTTTTGCTTAACTTCTACAATTTACCATCGCCGTCCGGTTAGTCTCCGTTAGTACTGTACAAATTTGTCGAAATGACCAAATACCCCTAGGAGAAAAGGTTTCAAAATTTGGATAAAAATTATGAAATATCATATTTCACGTTTTTAGTCAAATTTTGGATGTTTACAATCTTATGTTTATAATATAATATTTTGATAATTTTATCCAAATTTTGGAAGTTTTTGTCATAGGGGTATTTTGGTCATTTCGACAAATTTGTACAGTACTAACGGTGGCTAACCGGACGGTGATGGTAAATCGTAGAAGTTAAGCAAAAGTCGATGGCATATTGTAGAACGTGACAAAGTCAGTGGCAAATCATAGACGTGCGACAAAGTCAGTGGCATATAATGGATTATCTCATAAGAAAAACCGATACCCATGCCAAAATAGAACCGATACCTTTATCTTTGCTCGAGGCAAAAAAAAAAAGCGAGCTAGCTCGAATCGAGCCGAACTCACCATCCACACCCCACCGTCGTTCCTCCCTCGAGCCCATCCCTACTCCCCTTCATCATCGCCGTCCGGTTAGTCTCCGTTAGTACTGTACAAATTTGTCGAAATGACCAAATACCCCTAGGAGAAAAGGTTTCAAAATTTGGATAAAAATTATGAAATATCATATTTTAAGTTTTTAGTCAAATTTTGGATGTTTACAATCTTATGTTTATAATATAATATTTTGATAATTTTATCCAAATTTTGGATGTTTTTGTCATAGGGGTATTTTGGTCCTTTCGACAAATTTGTACAGTACTAACGGTGGCTAACCGGACGGTGATGGTAAATCGTAGAAGTTAAGCAAAAGTCGATGGCATATTGTAGAACGTGACAAAGTCAGTGGCAAATCATAGACGTGCGACAAAGTCAGTGGCAGATAATGGATTATCTTATAAGAAAAACCGATACCCATGCCAAAATAGAACCGATACCTTTAGCTTTGCTCGAGGCAAAAAAAAAAAGCGAGCTAGCTCGAATCGAGCCGAACTCACCATCCACACCCCACCGTCGTTCCTCCCTCGAGCCCATCCCTACTCCCCTTCATCATTGTCGAAATGACCAAATACCCCTAGGAGAAAAGGTTTCAAAATTTGGATAAAAATTATGAAATATCATATTTCAAGTTTTTAGTCAAATTTTGGATGTTTACAATCTTATGTTTATAATATAATATTTTGATAATTTTATCCAAATTTTGGAAGTTTTTGTCATAGGGGTATTTTGGTCATTTCGACAAATTTGTACAGTACTAACGGTGGCTAACCGGACGGTGATGGTAAATCGTAGAAGTTAAGCAAAAGTCGATGGCATATTGTAGAACGTGACAAAGTCAGTGGCAAATCATAGACGTGCGACAAAGTCAGTGGCATATAATGGATTATCTCATAAGAAAAACCGATACCCATGCCAAAATAGAACCGATACCTTTAGCATTGCTCGAGGCAAAAAAAAAAAGCAAGCTAGCTCGAATCGAGCCGAACTCACCATCCACACCCCACCGTCGTTCCTCCCTCGAGCCCATCCCTACTCCCCTTCATCATCGCCGTCCGGTTAGTCTCCGTTAGTACTGTACAAATTTGTCGAAATGACCAAATACCCCTAGGAGAAAAGGTTTCAAAATTTGGATAAAAATTATGAAATATCATATTTCAAGTTTTTAGTCAAATTTTGGATGTTTACAATCTTATGTTTATAATATAATATTTTGATAATTTTATCCAAATTTTGGAAGTTTTTGTCATAGGGGTATTTTGGTCATTTCGACAAATTTGTACAGTACTAACGGTGGCTAACCGGACGGTGATGGTAAATCGTAGAAGTTAAGCAAAAGTCGATGGCATATTGTAGAACGTGACAAAGTCAGTGGCAAATCATAGACGTGCGACAAAGTCAGTGGCATATAATGGATTATCTCATAAGAAAAACCGATACCCATGCCAAAATAGAACCGATACCTTTAGCTTTGCTCGAGGCAAAAAAAAAAGCGAGCTAGCTTGAATCGAGCCGAACTCACCATCCACACCCCACCGTCGTTCCTCCCTCGAGCCCATCCTTACTCCCCTTCATCATCGCCTCTCAACAACGAACTAGTATATTCATCAAGAACTAGCTCACCTAGAACTAGTGAATAGTACAAATCATTAAGAACTCATGTTTGGGACTAGAACTCAACAAGAAATCAAAAAGAGAAACTCAAGATCACTTGCCACAGGGGTTTCAAAAAAGAGCACATGCCACCGGCCGCCACATTGTCTGCGCCACCGCCGTCCTCCACGCTCGCCGTCGTCGCCGCATGGGGAGGGTGCGGCCGTTGCCGCCACCAAGTCGCGCCGTCGCCGCCTCCCCACTAGCTCCCCTGGCGCCGGATCTAGCGGAGGGGAGCTCGCCGCCTCCCCTCCCGTCGGATCTGGCGGAGGGGAGGGTGCTGCCGCCGCCGTCGCCACCACCTCTGCCAGCCAGCCGCCGGCCATGGGAGGGGAGCCCGCCGCCACCACCTCTGCCAGCCAGCGCCCGGCCATGGGAGGGGAGCGACGCGAGAAGGGATGGGATCGATGTGTAGATAAGGACCGTGTGGTGTGGACGACTAGATAAGGACGTTCGGTGGGTGTGGACCCTGTGGTGCTGCGGAGCTGCTGATGGCTCGGCTCGTCGGCTCGGCTTAAGCTATAGGTGCCAATTCTTTCAAAAAAAGGGCACCTATAATATATTATAGGTGTCGATTTTTTAATTAACCGACACCTATAATATATTATAGGTGCCAGTTCTTTTAAAAACCGACACTTATAGTATATGTTCCGGTTTTTGCTAGAACCGACACCTATAGTGTTTAAAGGTGTCGGTTTTATATTTTTCCATCACAAGTGGTGTGGAATCGTCTATAGGTACCGGTTTTAAATAAACCGGCACCTATGAGCCGATCCCTATGAGGGTTTTTGTAGTAGTGTAAGAGTCGGACTTTATCCTAGAATCTCCCTTAAATAGAGCAGCAGATCTGTTATAACCACTGCATACGACTTAGCATAGCGAGAGGGATCGGCTGCCGGCGGCAATCGGCCGTGAGTCGTGGTAACTCTGATACGTTGCAATATGCTGGATCGGGGAGAGTGTCCATAATCAATGCCTCAGGGATGTAGGTTTCGGCTGAACCTCATTAACAAATATCGTGCCCCTAGTGTCGTCGTCTTGTTTGGAACTCATATGGTGTTTCTTTCGCATTTGATTTCCGATGGTTTTTTCGGGCTAGTTTTATAACAAGTGGTATCAGAACCTGAGGGAGGTCCATGTATAGAGGCGCGATGGACGTGCTCTCACACCACGTAGCTTGCTAGTAATGTGCAGGGAGAGACATTGGCGCAAGGGGGAGCACAGCGGCGTTCAACGAAATTTGATTGGGGGATCGAACACTTCAGGCGGTAGCCAGAACCGTTCGATGGCTGCTTTCTACAGGGAGACTACTAGACGTGGTGGTCGGGTTGATGGTGGTGGAAGCGATTGGTGGTCCAATCAGTGGAGATGCATAGTTCGGGCGGCTGGCTCAAACTTTCCATGAGCTATTTTCAATAGGGAGACGTGCGGCCGCACGCTCAGGATGATCGAAGCTGGTGGCGATCGGCATTCTCGGTCGGTGGAATCGAGCACTCCGGGTGGTGTGGCCTAGGCACCTTTTGGTGAGCTGCGTTCGACTGGGAGATGACTAGATGTGGCACTCAGGTCGTTCGGTGGCTGTGAAGGCGGCATGATAATTTGTCGGCTTCGGCTAGCGACCAGATTGTTGGCGATCAATCGGAGGTTGGAGTGGGTCGTGGGCTCAAGGTGTAGCAGCAATGGTGGCGCGAGCCATGGGTGGATCCTATGTGCTGTTTTGACTTTTGAGATGTTGACAAGGTGGTACCGACGGAAGTAGGAAATCGCCCATCTATGACATTTGCCTCATGATGTTGTACAATTTCGAAAAAAGCATATCTATGACAAAATTTACTGTTTCATCAGGAATCACTAGTGGCAGAGGTAGACATTGAAACTCCATGACGAAATTAAAAATGGCGTAAAAAATCAATAGATAATTTTGTCACAAATGGTGTGTACCATTCATGTAACCCACTTATGATGCTCCTTTATTAATACAATATTGCTACTAAGGCGACATATATATACGATAGTGCACAGCATGATGCCCTTATTCCAGCAGCAATGTTCAAAATGGTGGAATTAGTCGAGGTGTCAGGAAGCTGAGCGGGTGGTCGCAGGAGTGTGCGAAGGTTCGCGAAGTCACAAAATATGGCGGTGTGCACGTGTTCGCGAAGGAGTGGCAGAAGAACCAACTTAAGTCCTAGTACACGAAGGTTCACGCAAGTAAATAATTCAGGTTGGCGTGGCATATTCGCCAAGGTGGTTTTTGTTAGAGTTTGTGTCGAATATGTATACAATGTTGGTCACAATTAGGACTTGGTGTTGTACTAGATGTTAGGAATAGAGTAAGAGTCCGTCTATATCCTAGGATCTCTCTTAAATAGAGGGGTGGACCTGTTGTAACCGTATGGTGACTTAACACAACGAGAGGGAGCAGCCGCTAGCAGTGACCAGTTGTGTCGAATATGTGTTAGGAATAGTGTATAAGTAGAACTCTATCGTGCCGGTTATAGTTTAGGACTCTATCGTGCCGCTAGAGTCGGTTATAGTTTAGGACTTGGAGTTTTAATAGGTGTTAGGAATAGTGTATAAGTACAACTCTATCCTAATATCTCTTTTAAATAGAGGGACAGACCTGTTGTAGCTACATAGAGACTTAGAATAGCACGAGGGGCCGTCTGCTGGCGGTGACCATTCGTGAGTCACTGATACACTCTAATATGCTGGATCGAGCAAGAATGCCCATAATTAGTGCCCCGAAGAAGTAGACTTATGCGGAACCTCGTTAACAAATATTGTGCCTTAGTGTTGCCATCGTATTTGGATCTCATACGACGGCTATGGGCAGGGGAGTGATGGGGAGCGGCATGGGTGGCGGCCGGGCATGCGATGGAGGGGACGCCGCCATAGCCAATGGCCGCTCGTCGCACGTCGTCGCTGAGCTCCGCTTTTCCACTGCCCCGAGCTCCGCCTCCGCCATTGCACACCTTCTTGCTGAGCTCGGCAGGAATCGAGATGGACGAAGCTCTCAACGATGGCGGAAGAGGCTGAATTGGCGACGTTGAGGAGGACAGAGATGAGCGGTGCGCTGACCCACTCTCATCGGCGGAAGAGAGCGATGCAATGGCCGCCATTGAGCTCGGCGAGTAAGTGGCCACCATGGACTCCATCATCGGGCCCTCGCCTTCCCGACACCATCATCGCCGAGGCGGATGGGGCCGAGCCTGCCTTTGCCGCTCTTCGTCCCTCTCTGGTCCACCGCCGCCGCTCCAGCCCACCATCGCTGCCACTCCAATCTCCCTGCTGGCAGGCCTAGCTGTCCTCCCATCGCCGCAGCTTCATCGCCCTCGAGGCCTCCACCTACGCACTCTCCGACGCTCTCTGCCACTGCTGGCGTGCTCCGCAGCTGTGCCGCTCGCCTACTATTCCGCCACTGCTGACTCTCTAGCTCCCACCTTCTGGCCTGCCACCACCGCTCCAGCTCCCACCCCCCACAGACAGCCAAAGGAGTGGTGAGGCGGAGGTGACGACGGAAGAGGCGAGCCGTTCAAGGAGGCTGCCACCGCTGCTCTGCTCCCTACTCCTACAGACGACCGAAGGGAAGTGCAAGGAGAAAAAGAGAGAGAAAGAAGAGAGAGAGAGGGTGAGGAGGAAGAAGTGAAAGGGAGAGAGAGATGGGGGGCCCACCTGTCAGTGGGTCCCACAATTTTTTTTGGGTGTATGACAAATGGGTCCCACATATTTTTCTAAAACTAATGCCACGTAAGCACCAGGTCAACACCGCCACGTTGAATAAAGACCAGGTCAACACCGCCACGTACACTCCAAGTCAACGAAACCACCCTCCAAAACCGTCGAGGGAGTCATATTGTGCTGGTTTTAATAGTTGGATGGGGGGTCAAGATATCCGGTATTGCGGTTAAAGGATAATAACCATATTCGGTCACTTGTTAAGGGAGTTAAAGTGAACTTATTTCCCGCGTCTTATATGACTGGAATAAGTCTATTTTGCGTCCCTCTTCTGATTGAGTGTAACGTCCCGCCTCTCCTAGGCCGGGCCAGCTTACATCTAGCAGCTTTCATAGGTCATAGACAAGTGAACTTATTTCCCGCGTCTTATATGACTGGAATAAGTCTATTTTGAGTCCCTCTTCTGATTGGGTGTAACGTCCCGCTTCTCCCAGGCCGGGCCCGCTTACATCTGGCAGCTTTCATAGGTCATAGACTGCCCTCACAGACCCCTGGAGTTCTTTGGAGATCGGCTTCCGGAAAGGAAGTTGCAACTTGTTGATTTGTTGATATGAGTATTCTATTAATTCTATTAAGCCCTAGGCCGGGATGTTACACCCTCACCCCCTTAAGAGAATCCTGGAGTTCTTTGGAGATCGGCTTCCTGAAAAGAAGTTGCAAAGAGAGATCGACGTCCGTGTGTGCAGTGCCAGCGCATGTGCCATGTTGTGTGACCACTCCAGGCCCACACCATCCATGCGCACCATGCTTGGAATAAGTCTATTTTGCGTCCCTCTTCTGATTGGGTGTAACGTCGTCCGTGTGTGCAGTGCCAGCGCATGTGCCATGCTGTGTGACCACTCCGGGCCCACACCATCCATGCGCACCATGATTGGAATAAGTCTATTTTGCGTCCCTCTTCTGATTGGGTGTAATGTCCGCTTCTCCCAGACCGGGCCCACTTACAGTTGATATGAGTATTCTATTAATCCTATTAAGCCCTAGGCCGGGATGTTACACCCTCACCCCCCTTAAGAGTTCTTTAGAGATCCTATTAAGCTCTAGGTTTGGCTTCCGGAAAAGAAGTTGCAAAGAGAGATCGACGTTTGGTCACCCATCCTAAATTGCTCCATGCCAAGCACGCTTAACCCTAGAGTTCTTTGGAGATCGGCTTCCGGAAAAGAAGTTACAACTTGTTGATATGAGTATTCTATTAATCCTATTAAGCCCTAGGCCGGGATGTTACATTGGGCTATGCCGTATATGGCTGAATTAAGTCCATTTTAGTCTCTGAAAAAGTACGAATTACCTCCCTGAACTATCATGAGCAATCGAATTACCCCCTAAACTCGAATACCGGATATTTTACACCCTTAGCTCTACAAACTGGGCAAATAACCCCCTGGCTCAATCCGAGGTTGTTTCATCCTAAGTGGCAGTACAGTCAGCAATTTTTTTTTTATAAAAATAGTGTAGGCCCGACCTGTAAGACTCTCCTCTCTCTTTCCCCTCTAACCTCTCAATCTCTCTCTACTCTCTTCCTAAATCCACTATCCCCTCTCTCTCATCCCTCCCCTGATGCAGCGAGCGGCAGCGGCTAGCCGGCAAGGCTCGCACGGCGGCACGCCCTCTCTCTCCTCCCTCCCCTTGCTGCGGTGAGCGGCGGGGGCGGCCGGCCGCACAGACCGCGCGGCAGTGGTGCTTCCGCGGCGCCCTGGTCCGGTCGTCGCTGCCCGGGCGGATGCTCGACACCGAGGAGGAGGAGGTGGTGCTCTTGTCCCGGCGCAGGCCGTCCCGGGGCAGATACGGCATCTGCCACTGTCCCCCTCTTAATACTATTGATTTAATTTCAGCGAGCAGCGCCCTGTATGTCTGATGACTAGTTAATCAACTTCTTGTTTAATTAGTTTAGTTTTCTCTTGAGATTCTTCCTGGTTTCTTGGGCTTTGAAACCAAGAAATGCAGTGACGATGCATATGCACACACACTGTGATTAGTTTAATTAAGCTTAGCTTCGATCTTGCTCTATAGAACAAGTTGACAGTGCATGTGATACATCGATCTGCAGTGCATGTGATGCATCGATCAGCAGGTACTGGCTGTCTGTATCTAGATTCTAGAGAACACAAATCAAGTTAATAATTGTTACTTCTAGTAGTGTGCTACTTGTAGTTCTTGGAAGTTGAAACTTGTATCTGCACGTTCAGATCGATGTTCTTGTATAATTGTATCTGCCCCGGGACGGCCTGCGCCGGGACAGGAGCACCTCCTCCTCCTCAGCGGCATCGAGCAGCCGGCCGGGCAGCGACCGGACCAGGGCGCCGCAGAAGCACCACTGCCGCGCAGTGCTGGGCGGCCGGCCGCCGCACCAAGGGGAGGGAGGAGAGAGAGAGAGGGGGAATGTGAATTTAGGAAGAGAGGGTAGAGAAAGATTGAGAGGTTAGAGGGGAAAGAGAGAGAGAGGAGAGTCTTACAGGTGGGCCCACACTATTTATTTTAAAAAAATTACTGACTGTACTGCCACGTAGGACTGAAACCATCTCGAATTGAGCCAGGGGTTATTTGTTCGGTTTGTATAGTTAAAGGGTGTAAAATATCCGGTATTAGAGTTTAGGGGGGTAATTCGATCGCCCATAATAGTTCGAGGGGGGTAATTCGTACGTTTTCCTTAGTCTCTCAACTATATTTCTTCCGTGCTCATTAGATCGTACCGTGCCGGGCTAGCCCACCGTGCCAAGGTATCGGCCCAACCGTCGGCCGGGCCAGCATGGGTTCAACACCAGTCGTGCCGTGCAATGGGCCGGGCCGTCAGGGCTCGGGCCTTATGGCCATCTATAGGAGTAGCTACATATGGAGTATATAATTGTCAGAGTTGATGAGTAGCTGTCCTCCTAGCGCTTTCGCTTGCACAAATTGGTTTGCCAACTATCACCACGAGGCTCTCGCCACTCGCCAATCTATATAAGCTACAAGGACACAAAATTGATTCCAACCAGCTAGCTTGGAGAATCTCAATTAGCTTGGGCAAAAGGCAAATTGGTCGCTGGACAAATCGATGGAAGGCGTCAAGGCGATGAACAGGGACATCATCACGCAGGACGCAGCCATGGCATTCGCGGATCACCACCTGCACATCCCGGACAGGTTCGTCCGCGCCGACGAGGTCCCGGCGGCCGGCGAAGTCGTCGTCGTGGGCGGCGACGACGAGAGCAGCGAGGTGCCGGTGGTCGACATGGCGAGGCTGCTCGATCTTGAGCACAGGGAGGAGGAGATCGCTTGGCTTGGCTCTGCGTGCCGGAGCTGGGGTTCTTCCAGGTTAATTAATTAGCAAACACACACTTACGAGATAGAAATTTTCATAATTTTCCAAAGCCAATTATGAAGGAAGCATCAACTTTGACTATTTTGGAAAATTCCCAGCCTTACAGTTTCTTCGTTTTGAGTTAGAGCGAGACTCCGGCGCTTTCTACTGGTAGTAGAATTAATCTAAACCGTTGATATTTTTTAATCTAATGGACCTGATCTAATTATACTTCCACGTCAATTAAGGATCTAATTATACTTCCATATCAATTAAGGGTAGTAGAAAAGTGGAAAGACATAATAGTCCATCACAAAATGGAGTGGAGGGATAATATTGTAACTTCGCACATAACGGCCGTCACCACGCATCCGTTCCCCTATCAATCCATCTGCCCACGGACTGCTGCAGCTGGCTCCCTCCTCCCCGACGGCGCGCTCAGTAGCTATCGGAATTCGGAAGCGGGGTGACAGCGCTGTCGCGCTGTGGTCATGGACAGGGGACGGGCTGGGGTCGTCGCGCCCGACCAGCAGCTTATGGAATGACTACTAGCAGGTCTATGGCTTCAGAGCAATTACAGTATGGATATGGAAGAGAAATCGTGAGTGCTACTGCTTATACGTTAAATTTGGCTGTTTAGATCTTCCTGAATGGATCGATTTAACACTTATTTATGTGCATGCACCATCACGTTACTTGCAAACAGCTTTTCGACAGATTTATCTGCTATTACGCGAGTTCATAATTTTTCAGTTTTCAAGGTAGCAGACTAGCAGTTGTCTAATGAATGCCTGCGTGAAATGGGTTTCAGTACCTGCTGGAAAGCAACCAGTCGCACATTGCATAGTATTGCTGTCTGGTCCAAACAGAGATTACAAAGCGCTGCCGGCAATTTTTGCCGCGCCGCCACCTGCCGGGAGGAGTCGCGATAAGTAACATGCAAGATGCAGTTCCTGCGTCGGGCCTGATGCAATTAAGCGAATGAGACAGAGAAATCAACCTCCAGCCAAAATTACTCCTAATCTGTACTAGGAGATTACTAATCTACCCTTTAAAATAAACGGTCAGGATTAATTCTACTCGTAGTATAATATTACAAGTAGAAAGCACCGGAGCGTCCGCCGGGGGTGCACCAAAAGAGTATACAAAGGTTTTTTCCCCTCTTAATTTGATTTAGGACTTTCTGAAATTTCTTGTTGGAATTTATTTATTTTAAATAAAGATGAGTACACACTAGTAAAAGTACGATTAATATGGTGGTGCAATTCCTAATATACAACTTCGTTCAACGAGTTTAAAATATTTTTGAAAAGTTCATCGCCTTAACTTGTTTAAAATTTTTTAAAAAGTCACGAATTATTCCAGCGTTGAGCCATTTCACCATGTCAACACTGACAGAAAAGCACGCTAAATTTGTGCCACGATTAAAAGGTGGGTATGATTTTAGACTTTTAGTAGGTGAGGGATGAATAATGTTAATTTGGTTTTCATGTTTTTGACATATTTATACTTACATAAAATTCAAAGCTATGAAACACACTTTTCCTGAATTTTAAATCCGATGTAAACATACTTCTTGACAAAAGTATCATGCGACTTTTCTACAGCTCATAAACCATGGAGTCGACCAAGCAGTGATACAGAAAATGAAAGAAAACACGGTACAATTCTTCGAGCTACCCCTGGAGGACAAGAACACGGTGGCTGTCCGTCCTGGCGGCATTGAAGGATTCGGCCATCACTTCAGATCATCAGCTGGCAAATTAGACTGGGCGGAGAACTTGATCGTTCAAACGCAGCCATTCCAGCAGAGAAACCTCGATTTTTGGCCTAGTAACCCACCCACATTTAGGTCCCTCTTCCATTCTTGTTTATTAATTCTTTCCAGATTAATTTACTTTCATAAATTCTTCAGTTGCTCATCTACCAAGGATCATTCAGGGATTCAATCGACAAGTACACAGTGGAGATGTCGAATCTGACAATGCGACTGCTAAGGTTTATGGCCAGCGACCTTGGTGTTGAGCAAGAACCGCTGCTCGCCGCCTTCCGCGGGAAGCGGCAGAGCACTGCCCTGCACCACTACCCTCCTTGCCGCCACCCGGAGAAGGTGATCGGCATCGCGCCGCACTCCGACGGCTTCGGGCTGACTCTACTGCTGCAAGTCGATGACACGCCGGGCCTGCAGGTTAGCAACGGCGGCCGGTGGCATCCGGTGCGGCCGCTGCCAGGTGCCTTCATCATCAACATCGGCGAGACCCTCGAGGTTCTCACCAATGGCCTCTACAGGAGCGTGTTCCATAGGGTGGTCGTTGACACTGAGAGGGACCGGGTTACAGTTGTGGTGTTTCAAGACGTGTGTATCGATGGAGTGTTGAAGCCACTACCGGAGCTCGGCGAGCCGCGATATCATGCGATCGGCAAGTCGGAGTATTTCAAGGGCCACACAACAGAAGTAGTTGGTCAGGGGGAAAGGTTCATCGACACCCTTAAGAAGTGATCCGATATAGCCATTCTGGTTTGCTCGGTGAATAGTGTATTGTAAGAAGTGATGGTGAATAATTTCTTTTAATGCTATTCAGTAGTATTGGTGTACCTAGGGGTGTAAGTGGGACAGCCGCGAATCTACTTATAGATCAAAATAAGCGGGTTCGCGGCTTATTTTAGTCTATAAGTGAGTTTCGCGGGTTAGCCACTTACACCCCTAGGTGTACCTGCATGTCCAGCGATAAAAAATTATGTATACTGTGTCAGCTTGCTTGTTATTATGATTTATATCAATAAAAGGGATCGATCGATCGAACAAAAGGATTTTCCTATGCAGTGTCTTATTAGTGTCATGATGAGCCAGATCTAGAAATTAGGGTTCCCTTCTACCGAATCAGGCTCATCGTGGCTAGATCTGGTCAATACCTCTAGGCCACAACTAGGAGCTAGCAAGGGAGAAAGCAGGCGAGCAAGGAAGAAGCTGTGTGGAGAGAGATCGAGGAGGAAAAGAGGAACTAGAGGTTACCACCAGTAGTTTTATAGAATTACATTTATCGAGGTAGTCGTTTAATTAAGCCGACCACCTCTAGAAACTAAGAATATTGCACATTTCAAAAGTACTTAACTACATTTTTTCTACGGATTTTTTACACAGAATAGTTATTACATGGTGTATTAAAAAGACGGTGGCACTTGTAGATGCAGGTGTTCATATACACATGTGTACACTCACCTTTATTAATGCACAGACGCACACATTTTTTTAGCGCCTCCAAAGACTCATATGACATATGTTGATATTTGAGGAAGCCATAATAAGTACTCTCTCCATTCCATTTTGATCATCCCCTAAAATTTTTGACGTCTTTACAAAATGATCATCATCTAACAAGTGTCTCTTCGTTTATTTATGCAAAAAGTAAATGCACATCATTAAATGTGTTTCATGCATGCAACCAACCAAGATTAATTTTTATTGGTGCAATGACATGTAATATTTAGAACATGAGCAATCCATGGGACACAAAGCAATGGAGCATCTTGATCCATGATGACTATTTTTTTAGAATGATGAATATTTTGGTGTCCTTGGTCTTGGTGCATTTTGCTTAGGGGATGATCAATTTCGGATGGAGGGGGTAGCTCGCTGTGAACGGGTATATTGTCTACTGTAACGCCCCGATTTTCGTTCGGGATTAAAAATCATTTAATAATGCATTTCCTAGAAATTAAATAAAAATTTAAGCAATTTATTCGAGTGAATTAATGGGAGAATTAAAATTTTCCCTTAAAAATCATTGTCCGGGAATATTTTTCAATATTCTTTGTGCCCTAAAATACTCTCTGAAATTTCTCGTGAATTTTCGGAGCTCAAGAAATAATTTTAAATAGCACAAAGTTCATTTAACCAATTAGAATAAAAAGAAAAGAAAATAATCTTCCCCTTCCTTCCTTTCGGGCTCGGCCCAAATTCCTCCCCTCCTCCTTCCTAGGCCGGGCTTCCCTTCCTCGGCCCGCTCGGCTCTCTCTCTCCCTCAAGTCTACATTTCCTCCCTAGCCCGTTTTCCCCTCCCCCTCTCTCCGACAGGTGGGCCCCACATGTCATCTCCTACCTCCAGCTCCATCCCCAACCGCCGCCATGGCCGCCAAATCCTCCCACATCGCCGCCTCTCCCGCGCGACTCCCTCTCCCGCGCGTGCGTGGACGCGGTCGTCGCCCACGTCCGCGCCGTTTCCCCCCACTCTCCCCGCAAAATCCGGCCACGTCGCCGCCTCCCGCTTCTCTCTCTCCTCCCACGTCGCCGGCCGGTTTCTACCTCTCTCGGGCTCGATCCCGCCTCCCCTCCCCTATAAAAACATTCCCCGCACCTCCCTCTCCATTTTCCCCTCTCTCCCGAGCCCTCCCGTGCACGAAAACCACCCCGCCACCGTTGCACCTCCCGCCGCCGCTCGCCGACGACCCTCCAGCCGGTCGCCACAGCCGCTCCCACCACCGTCGTTCCGCACGACCGCCACCAGTGGCTTCGCCACGTCGTGCCACACCCCGGCGTCCGCTCCATTTCCCCTCCCCGCCTCCGAAGCACCGTCGCCACGCGCACCACCTCCTTCCACCGAAGCCGCCGACTCCAGCCGCCGCTCGCTTCGCAGCGCCGAGGAGCACCTCGGCCGCCGCTTTTCACGGCCGGGATCCCGCCGGAACACGGTTCCCCTCGCGCCGGTGAGCATCCGCCGCCCGTTCTCCCCTCCGACCAGCGATTCATGCCGCTGGGAGCCCTCTCTCCCCCTCCTAACCTCTCCCCCATCCTCCCCAGGTCCTTCCGGCCGCCGTCTGCCGGTTCTCGCTCGCGGAACGCCGCCGGGCCGCTGTTCCGCCTTCATCCCGAGGAGCGCCGCCGGCCGGCTTCCGCCGCCTCGCTCGCCTGGGCCGCCCGGATTCCCTTGCCGCGCCTCACCGCCGCTTTCTCGCATGCACCGGCCGTCGCCGCAGGAGGCCGCGCCGCCGCGAGCCGTCGCTCGGCCGGGCCGGCCTGAGCCGTGCCCATGCTCAGCCGCGCCACCCTGTGGTCCCGGTCCACGGTGGACCGATTCCCTTGACCCGCTGACGTGTGGGGCCTGCCTGTCGGCGCCGGCCTCTTTGATGACGTCAGCGCTTAAGCTTTTTCCTTTGAGAAAATAAATAATAATTGCGCAATAAATCGAGTTTAATTCTAGAAATTCATTTAAATGGCTCAAAACTTCTAAAATTCATACCTAATTCATTCGAACTCCGAATTGAGCCATTCAACTTGCAAAATTCATCTAAAATTGAGCTCTACATGTTTGTTTAGTTTTAATGTACTATTTTCTTGGTTTTTATTAGAGTTTTTCCTCGTTTTACATGCCAGCGTGTAGAATCCGTCGTTTCGGAAGTCCGCGGTCGCGAGGAAAAGAGTTCGGAAGATCAAAGTGAAGAAGCAAGGCAAGTCACACATTCCCCTTGAGCATGTTGATCCCAATTTACAAATGTTTTACTGTTTGCAAATAAATATGCATGTTTTGCTAATTACATGGGGTCAGGGTTTTACCTATCTGCTCGCTTGTGCCATGTTTACTTGATATCTGTCCTTTGTCAACCATGGGTAATAAATCGCCTAGCTTGTGTTACTTTGATGACCTAGTTAGAACTATATGCTTAGCCATGCTTAATTACCACTAGCTCAGTTGATGGGATAATTGCTGTATTAGACATTCTAGTATCTTGTTGAGCTGCGTGCTCGAGACATCTGGCCGTGCTTCATGGTCGTAATTATCCAACTAAAATGCGACTGAATGGTGGGCTGTGGGTGCATGGTTTTGCTAGTCGCACCCATGGCAATTAAAGACCGGTTCGCGGGATGCCCTGGAAGAACTTATCGTACTTACCACAAACCAGCGTGGGCAACAGCTGGACTTGTAGTGTAGCTTTCCTCTAGCTGACGCATCCAGGCAAGGGTGGGAGTGATGGAGCGGGGCCGGCCCTGCGACGGCCTCTGTCGCTTCCGGATTCACCTAGGCACGAGAGGGGACTGCCCGTCGCCCGCTAGGGACGGGGGTGAAACCTGAGGTGTGGTGTGCTTGGCTAGAGGGAGTTATGTGAAGGGTCCTGTCACGGCCTCTTTCTGGTATGTCGTGGTGGCATGTCGGCGCACGGTAACGTGTCGTGGGGCTGTGTCTTGTGGGTACAGTTGTACACCTCTGATCAGAGTAAAACTATTCGAATAGCCGTGCCCGCGGTTATGGGCGGTCGACCAGATCCACCGTGATTAGTCTCACACTTAATAAATCGACCCGATACACTGTAGTTCAGGTGGGTTGGTTGGGCCTGTTCAACGTGGTGTAGCGTTAATCAGTGGAGATTTAATGTTACTCTAATTACTCAATAGTTTTACTGGTTTGCTCAATAAAATGTTTTACAACTGCCTTTATGCAAATAGCCACAAACCATCCTTGTATCCCCTTGCACGTCTGCATCGTTGGTATGGCTTGCTAAGTACGGTGATTGTACTCAGCCTTGCTATTATTCCCCCTTTTCAGAAGTGTAGTGCTTCTGAGCTGAAGACGAAGTTAGAGGACCAAGGCTCAGACCCCAGTTAAGTTTTGCCTGTTGTCACGCCCAGAAATTCCCGAATAGAATTTCAAGCAGAATGTGCATTAAAATCCCCGTCCAGGACCAGCCGGGGTACACAAACGACAATGTTGACATTCAGATCCACGTCTTACAAACATCATAAAAGTCTTACATAAATGCAGCGGAAAAACGAAAGACAACAGGAGCTAAGCCTTGACTAGAACTGCAGTGGGAACACCACTCCACAGGCATCCTCGACGGCACGGACGAAGCCTACTCCTCAGAGACACCTCCATCTGACACATACTCGAACTCTGGGGTTGGGAAAAATAGAGCAAGACTGAGTACTACCCACTGTACTCAGCAAGTCATACCGGAATAGGGATATGATGCAGGGAATCATCAAAGAAGAGCTGAAGTGGTTCATTTGCATAAAGTGAGCATCTATAAACAGAAGTTGAAAGATTTAAACAGTTGTAATAATTAAACAATATCCACTATCCACTGTCCAACGCTAACCCACGTTGCGACAGGCCCAACCATCCACCTAAACTATCCAAATTCAAAAGATTACACTAGGGTGAGCCTAATCACGGTGAATCTGGTTGACCGCCCATAACCGCGGGCACGGCTATTCGAATAGTTTTACTCTGATCAGAGGTGTACAACTGTACCCACAAGACACAGCCCCACGACATGTTTCCGTGCGCCGACATGCCACCACGACATATCGGAAAGAGGCCGTGACAGGACCCTTCGCATAACCCCTCTAGCCAAGCACACCACACCTCAGGTTTCACCCCCGTCCCCAGCGGGCAACGGGCAATCCCCTCTCGTGCCTAGGTGAATCCGGAAGCGACAGAGGCCGTCGCAGGGCCCGCCCCGCTCCATCACGCCCACCCTTGCCTGGATGCGTCGACTAGAGGAAAGCTACACTACAAGCCCAGCCGTTGCCCTCGCTGGCTTGTGGTAAGTACGATAAGTTCTTCCAGGGCATCCCGCGAACCGGTCCTTAACTGCCATGGGTGCGACCTGCTAAACCATG